GTGTGATGGGGCGTCGATATTCGTAAACTCCATTCGTATCTAATAGATAATTAACTGTTTCGCCGGTGGCCGTGACCGATATGCGGTAACAGCGTCGCACGATGCCCGCGATATCAATAATAAGCGATGAGCATGCGTGCGGCAAAAAAGAACGTTCACGTATACGGTAGGTACGTAATGGAAATGACGGTTCCACCACGCCAATTTTTTGAAAGTATACCAAGGTCACCTTGAATTTATCAAAGGGAACCACGGTACAAAGGCGCGCACATTGATGCGAGCGTAAGTAAATGCAGCTTCGTGCCGCAGAACCGTCCGGTAAAATATTCTATCAGGAAAGGGAGCAGCGAATTTCCATTTGTCGTAGACAAAACGCGTCCGCCGAAGGTCTTCGCCTGTTCAACACTGGAACCGGCAGATAGGTCAAAATCACCGATTCCTGATTTCTATCGTTACGATCACTGAAAAGGCACGGATCCGCGAGGGATCGTTAAAGTCGATTCAGTAATGCTTGTACAGAAATACGAGTGAATTGAAATCTTGATAAATACAGTTAGAAATTTTATAAAGAAATTTAGGGGAGTCAAGTGCTCGGTAGTTCCAGCGTTAACGAAAGGGGCACGAAAGTTTCGCGTTACGCCGTTTTATAGGAATCTCGTGTGCGAAGTTTTTTGACACTAGAAGCGTCGGATGGGTCGAAATCATTTATTTCTTCTTTTACGGTTACTGAGAAGGGTGCTTCGAACAATTAACGAGACTAATTGAATAATAGCAGAATTGAAGTGCAAGTTAATTGAAGTCTTAATAAACGTACGGTTTTTATACAGAAATTGGTAGAAGTCAGTTTAACACTAGAACTACCGAGCAGTTCAATTGTCTTTTCGAAATTGTGGGAACCTCGACAGTGCAATTGTTGAGACTTCAGTTTGCAATTCAGTTTGTGCATTGTTAAATCAGTTTCTCCGGTGCTTTCTCAGAGAATCTGTTATCTGTCGCAGAACTGGAAAAAATGAGATCAGGAATGGATGATTTCGACCCATCCGGTGGTTCTAGTGTCAAAGCGGTAAATAATCATTGCAAGCGTATACATACACGGTTCGTCGCACTCGGCTGGTACTAACTATAAAATTCGACAAAATCTGCGAACGGTTCGAGCACGATTGAAAATATTCCAGTTCTGTAAACTAATAAGTTGTAATGAAATAGGTACGGCTCACCAGAGGTTAATTACTCCTTACGAGGTACTTTAACATATTTCAAGAGGTAATTAGCTGGTGAGCCACGCAGTTAGTGGATAGAGATGCATTACCGAAGAATAGATTTCCTGTACTCCGGTCGTCGAAGAAAAACGTGGCTAGATAATTCATTGTTCCGGTTGTTGAAACATAATCATCACTTTATTTTACACGGTTTCCTCTTCTCCCCGATGTTCGACGAAAAATCAGAATAATCGGAAATTCTAACCTATATTCGTGGTGTTCGTTAAATTTTCGTTGGTCCCGGCACGTCGTAACCCTGAAGGTTTCCTAGGTTCCGGTTGGAGTAGCGTGAAAAGGGAAAAAAGAAGTCGGACGATAATACTTGGTCGATTGTATTACGCATAGCCGTAAGCTCTGCAGATGCGTGATGCGCTAAACGTGACGCGGTACGACGTTCCGCGGGTTAACCACGCGAAAAAGACCATTTTTGGGCACCGTTTGCCAGGAAAAATCGATAACCTCGCAGGCTGATAGGACGTCGAAAGTATGGATTCATGACGTAGTCTCGGAAAAGGGCCGGCCCGCTTTTAAGCAGGGTTTTCGAAAAAGTCTCCGTTGGCCAGGTTGCAGTGAGCCTGCGCACCGGTGTACGCGCAATGCGACACGCGATAGAGTAGGACAGGGAGACTCGTAATCTCGTTAAAAAGAGACGGAACGGGGGATGGCGAAGCGCACAGCGGCGTTCACGATTAACGGTAAGGAAGGGAATTTAATGGGTGTCACGGCAAAGAATGTTAATTTTATACCTTACGTTTATCGATGTAGCGTCTAATTGGTGTTAATTTAGCAGGCGATACGCCGCGGAGTAAACTATCTCCCGTTTGATTTACCAAATGCTGCGACTTGGAATTTCGTTTGTGGTTTAACAAGTGTCCGGTATAAGAGGAAAAGGGAATTCACTTATTTCTTCTTTTTTTCTTTTCATTTTGTACACGAAACTCGAGAGTTTTGAACAATCGATGAACAGTTTACTTTTGTTTTCGTCGAGGGTAGCTATAATAATATTATACGTTACGTTACATTTTAGGCGGATAATGTTGAATTTAATGGAGAAATCAATGGGGATTGTTGGGTTGATTAACAGATAACGAAACTATCAATTATTATTCGATTGTATTGTAGAGATGTAACGTGTGGTGTTTATCGTGAGATTGATACGTAACGTACGATCACGCGGGTAGTGTGAAAGTTTTCTATGTATATTTTGTATTGCGTCATATTTTATAATAATGAATTATACGGAATAAAACGCGGTATCGAATTGCCATATATTTCTGTATTAACGTGTACACACAGCAGACATTTCTCTTGTTTCTCTTATCCTCTTATTTTTTCAGAGAAATTGGTACACATTTTAGATGTGATCACATAAATTGAAATGTTGCGATTACGTTGGTGTTAATTCGAAAAGTATTACGAAATTGAGTAGAAATTACGAATAGTGTTACGTCATGTATTAGTTGTTATTTTCTCCACAGATATTTTAAATATACTTATTTATTAATTCCTCCTTTTATAAAGGTAAGGGTGTAGCCAGATTTTAATAGAAAATCGAAGTAATTGGGATTAGGCCTACATGCAAATGAAAGTCATTAATATTTATTAGAATAAACATTATACCCATTATATTTAAGATCATTATACATAATCTTTATGATCTGCTTTTAAAGTATTCAATTAAAAAATATATATCAAATTTAAAATGTTAGTAAAATTCTAACGGAATGTTTATTGATCAATCAATATCCAATATAAAAATATTTTTACCAAAATAAATTATAAAGATGTGTATACGGATATAACTTACATGGGTCAATACGTTTGTTCGCTTATCCTATATAAGGGACGTACCATCGAGCGATAATATTGAGTAAATAAAAATTTTATTTGAATTTACTTTACTACCATTATTACAATTATTTCTAATTAATGTTGATATTCTAATCATTTTAAATTAAGAATTTATGTGTTACATTTATATTTATCATAACAGCATATATCTTGCAACTATATGTATAGTTATATATTAAATATAAATGTCAAAGCAGGGACAACTGATAATAAAGATTACATTACAGACGTTAATACAACAAAAAATGCAATATTATCATCGATGTGAATTATTTCATAAATATATAAATAAATAAACTGTACTATAAATGCTAATCTATTTCACATATGTGTACGATTTTAAGGACATTCGAAATCATGTGACCATAAAGTACGTTTAAGAAAAATAATTTCAGGATCCGCAGTTGTTCCTTTATTAGAACTTATTACAGTGATGTTTGTTAGATTATTTGTACAGTTGTAATATTTCTTAATAAATTCATTTGTTTATACAGTAATTTTAACAAAGCAACAATAGAGATAAGCAGGTACTATTACCACAAGGGCAATAAAATGCCAATCTTGCAGAATAAATTGTGATCTTTTCTTGAATTAACATTTCTAATCATTCAAAAGTTACGGGTATAGAGAGAATTGGTAATATAGGATTTGTAGTTTCTACTTCAAGTGCTGTAGCCATACAATCACTTGCCGCTTCCACTTCGCCTAAAGATTCCAACACCTTCCCTAAATTATACCTACGAAAATAAATAAAAAAATCGAATTTAATACAAATTCTGTTAGAACTGTTATCTTATATTTGAAAAGATTCTATTACCATGTTTGATGAGAATTTGGATCGATTTTTGCTGCATCTCTTAGAGTTTTTTCTGCCAACCTCTGACTTCCCAAATAATGATAAATTAGACCCTAGAAATGTTTAAAAAATTTTCTTAATTTTAAAATATTATTACTTTACTATCATATAAAATAATACAAGCAAAGAAGAAACTACTATTTAAATTTTAAATTAGTACAATAGATACAAGGGATTAATTGTTAGAGGTTTAATAGATGTAACAGAAATTACCAGATGTTGTAAACTCTTTATATGCGATGGGTTGATCGAAACTGCATTTTGATAACATTGTTTTGCCTCCATATATTCTAATTTATATTCGTGTAAGAGACCCCTCTGAAATGAAAAATATACTGAGCGCCGATGTATTACATTTGATCATGCGAAATGCAATATTGCTGTTAATTATCTTAATTTTCACATATGAGAATATTGGAAAAACTTACCGTATACATAATGTGATGACTCAATGGAAAAATATTAGTAGCTTCTTGTAAAGAAAGAACAGCACCATTTGGTTGATCTAACACCAGATATACCTCTGTGAGTAACAGCCAGACCTGTAATTGCAATAGCCATGCTCTTTGTGGTCCTGGTTTTGGGGTAAACGAGCTAAGTGAAGATGCAACCTCAGAAAGAGCTTGCTCCACTCTTGAAGCAGCTAGTGACTGTGCATGCAGAGAACCTATTTAAAATAATGCTATTTATAGAAATTGCTCAACTTTACGAAATTAAAATCAAATAATTGTAAATACTTGCTTGATACATACTGGAATCTTTATCAGACATTTCAGAAGCGTACAGTTGAAAAACACTTCTGGTTTCACTGCGTTTTTCGCTATGCTGTTCGTTGCAATTAACATTAGTCTGATCCTCGTACAGATTTTTCCAAAGCAAAAGCATATGTCTTATGGTAAACAAAGCTTGCTCGCCACCACTACTTCGTAATTCGAGATGTGCTTTCACATAAAGGAAATTTAAGTTATCCGGATATTCCTCTAATACGCTGTTGATTAAATGTAATGCTTCTGAATACTGTTTATGAGCTGATAATAATAATATCAATAAATGCAACGATGGAATGTGTTCTGCTCGAAGATTCAATGCAATTTTTACATGAATCATTGCGTCGTTAATTTGCCTGTTAATAGCGTACTCATGAGCCAAATAATACTCAGCTAAATGATCATTTGGATCACATTGTTGTGCCCTATAAAAATAAAACCATATAATAAAATACAGCTTTACAATTAATTTAATACATATTTTATACTCAAATGTACGTACTTTTGGAAACACTCCAAAGCTGTTTTGGTATGATTAGTCTTGTCCAATTTTACTATAGTATTTGCAGAAAGAATACTATGACCGATTCCTATATAAAGATGACATCTAGATTGCATCCCTTGTGAACTTGCAGTTTCTCTTTGAAGTGCTTTTTGACTCCATTCAATACCTTCTTTTATCTATTTAAAATTATATTGAATAATTAAAATATTGATATTATTAATAAACTTTAGGTGTACTGTTTGTTTAGTATATAACATGCTTATATATAATACAAAAATAACTGTTACCATGTTTAACTGTTCATAACATAATCTTGCAGCTAACAGACAGGGCATTACTTTCTGTGGCGATAACCTTGCTACCACTTTTAAGACCCTATATGCATGCATATATCTGCCCATACTAATTAAACACAACGCACACTGTGTCCATACATGTGCCTCTTCGTGCGAAAATTTCATTGCTCTTTCAAAAGACTATTACAATATAAAAGCAAATTAAATTTGTAATGTATCATCATAGATTTTTTTTAAATAACAAACATGCTTAATTATACGAACCTCGTATAATAATTCCACTTGACTCCACCTCATAACAACGACTGTAAGGAGATCGTATACTGCAGTAGCATTCTCAAAAGCATGTATTCTTGCATCTTTAAATTCTGGAGATTGACTTAACACAGCATCTCTAACTGCCATGGCTTCACTAATTAATAACAATAAAATGGTTTCCTCATATTCATTCCTCGGCACAAACATATTAGGGCCTGAGTATTTCTTTGGCTTCCATGGTGACTCTACAAAAATTATTTACGTAGTTATTTTTTAATATATTACAAGTAACAATTGTAAATATATATGTTAACTTCAATTTTATAATAACTAAAAAAACCTGTAAAAATATTTAATAATCATATGATCTGAAAACTTCGACATATAACTACCTGTTGTTTCACTTGGAGCTTCTGGTGATTTGTATTCGGCACCGCTTATTCCTCGAATTAACACTTCCGCCAACTGCCTCGTTAAAGTGACTCGAAGACTTTGAGTCGCAGTAGACTCCATTGCGGATAAAATTTCCCTTTATGATTATTCAATTTTGTCATTAAATCACTTAATCTTTTTCATACAAAACAATACTGAAAAAGATACCTGTAACGATTTATAGCAGCTTGAATATTTCCAGTTTGAACATACAATACGGGTGCCCTCTGCAGAGCAGTTTCCAAAATTGGTCCAATATGTTTTGTAGAGCCATATGAAGAGTGAGAAGAATATGTACCTATCGAGCAAACGATATGAACATATTAACTACAAAATCCTAATTTTAGACTTCAACGTATTTTGCCAACAACCTTATAAAATTACCTGAAAGAGATTTATGTGTATGTGGTTAATGTAATATACTCTTAGAAAATGAATAAACTGTAATGTTAGACATTAATCTCTCATTCTTTTGATTAGCAATTGTCAGTTACTGCTGATGATCATAATGTATTATTCATGCATACATTGATTATGAAATTAAGATTTTCGATTAGCATTGTTCGATTGAAAACAATGAGATGAAATCAATCTACGTCACCTGTATTGTTACTATTTATGGTAGACGTGCCGTTTTGATGCTGCATTGCAAATTTGTCTTGTTCTTGTAAATATACTAATGTCAGGTCCCCAGCGATTTCGTAACACTTGATGATCTGTTCTTGCCATTCTGCTATTTTGTACTTTGATTTGGAATTTGGTGGTAATCTTTCCAGGCAAAGACCTATTATAAATTGATAAAAAGAAAAATTAAAATGGATATATTCAACAAATAACAGTTAACAAGATCAGGAGAAAACAGGAAATTCCATTCTCTCTGTAAAAAATATTTGATACAATTTTTATAAAATACAGATATTACAACTAAAAACAATGGTTTTTTCATTAATTATTTTTAAAAAAAAATATATGAATTGCAACAACATTAAACTTCCAATTTGTGCAATAATTATAATTCTAGAGATTAAATTATAATATTAATTATTCTTTTATTTAAATGACAATGTGTTCTATGAATGACAATAGAAATAATAATGTGCCAGTATATACTAGCAATATACTATATAATTAAAACATATTTTTCATGCAAACCTTTAATTGCATATGATTCTGCAATAATACGAAGACTTCGACAAGGTAAATGTTTTTCTGTAAGAGTGTGCAATTCAGCTTCTTTATAATGGTTCAGGGCCTCTTCATACATTCCCATTGCATAGTGCACTTTTCCAAGTAATAAATGTGCATCTAACACAACTAAAGCCTAAAATTCAAAATAAAATACTAAATATATTAAATCTAAATATTTATGTTATATACTCTAATTATTCTGTAGCCACACTAAGCTATTCTAATCTTTTAACAACCACATGTAACTTTCAAAATGATTTCTTATATCTGTATATAATTCTACAATTCCTAATTAGTTCAAATAATCAAGGTTCTACTATATTTTAATTAAACTATAATCAATATTACTGTAATCACCTGTTTATCTTTTTCATTTGCTGCGAGCAGCAAATACTTCCTAGTTTCCACTAACCCATTTCTTGCTTTTCCAATGTTGGCGTCTATAGGTAGAGTTTGTTCTAAAAAGCTTTCTAATCTGCCTTCGCCGGATAAAAAGTTTGCTAAACATTCTGAAATTAAATGCATTCAATTTCAATTGTTTGAAATAAATAAGATTATTAAATATACAATGACAGTTTCTTTAAATTATATACTATAAAAAAATAATTTTAAATTATATAATGTAATAATTACAAAGTAATGTATACATTCATAAAAAGATTAATAACACTTTAGCTTTATGAATTAGAATGTGCAGAAATTCTTTATTTATAAATTTATTTATTAATAACATAGTTTTGAAAAATATCTTAAAATACGAACGCACTTAAAAGTAATCCTTATGTGTTATATAAAATTCTGGGAACGAATTATTCACCTATCTATTATTATTATTATGATTCTGATTATTATTGTTATTATTATTATTTTTAAAAATTACTGCCAATAATTCATTGATAACAGAATCTTTTTTTCTTTAAAATTATAACTAATATATCTAGAGAAGTAAAAAGACTTGATGTCAAACAACTGATTTTATAGCAATTATCTTTGGCCTTTAATCCTATAATTCCAGACATGACTTAACGAATTCCTTTCACAAACAGGTTACGAAACCCGTGAAATAACATTCAAATCCTATAAAACTTGATCGTAGTTTTTAATAGAAAATCTGTTAACATAATACATAACTGTCACTGAGTAGAATTTTTGTTTAAAAGAATATAAATAAAAATAATCACCATTGCTTGGATATTGTACTTTCAAGTGTTCCGCTAGTTCTATAACCTTTTTCCAATTTCCCTCTTCACGGTTTTTATCGATTTCTGATTCAATTCGAAGGGCGTGTGCTTTTTTACTTGTCATTCTAATTCACGTAGGAAAAAGAATGAGACAAGCTATTAAGTCCTGTAGTAACGTTCACCAAGATGTAACGTAATATATCGATCATCAGTGATGTTACGAGCGCAAGTAAGGCGTAAAAGTACACTGTACGACAACCTCTGTCTCGAGCACGTGCCAGACTATTTTGAACTGTCTGCATGTCATAGATGCAGCGGAGTATAGATAGATACGATGTATCATGAAATATACCCGTTGCAATTAGCCATGATATTGCGCATTTATCAGAAAATTGATCTACTTAGATAAACCATTAGTTTAAAAAAAGAAAATTACTTTTATAGAAAATAAAAAATATTATATTTAGAATGATTAGCTAGATAGGTACATCCAATTTATTTGGAAGTATTATAATATTCAACTACAAAGTTTTCACTTCAATTTCGAATGTTTCATACAATATAAAATAAAGAGTATAAATTAGTGTTTCATAATTTTAATTTATTGGTTTTCCAGTCATACATGCGTTGTAAGGATAAAAATAAATTTACTTTGATTCTTCTCTTTTCTGTATAGTACATTATATACATACATACATACATACATACACATATAAATTTATATTAATCTTTGATCTTTAGTCACAACTTTAATCGTAGCACTTCTTAGAGCCTAAAATTGATTTGAACTTTTTCATATGAGAGTTAAAAAATTATGTTTTTAATTATAAGTTATGTTTCACTTCTTTCCATTATTCTTTGATATCGTTTTTTCCATTTATTTTTTACATCTGCAATATTATGCTGAAAATTATATTTTCGTTTCAGTTGGTTTGAAGGTTTTTTTTAACTTACTGTAAGAGAAACTAAATAGAAGTAGTAAACCTGTAATATGTGTACTCCACGTTGTGTAAGAACAATAAGTTCTTTCATTCCATCGTTTGTTATATCCATGTAACATATAGAATGTACAGGTGCATCAAACAATTTTCTAACAATTAATTCCCATGTATCATTTACAAAACAAAATATTAATATTTCCTGTCCGTATGTTCCTAACAGTATTTCATTCTGACCATCCATGTTGATATCAGCAATACAAGAACATAAAATGCAATCGGATGTTTCACTACCATTTAATCTTATATCTTCATCCATTCCATTATTTAAAATATCCCTGATTAAAACAATAGGAACATTAGATTTAATATATAAAATAGTAAATTAACATACTCACATAAAGACTACTGCATTACATGTATTTACAATAAGAACATTTAACTTTGTTTCTTTTTTACTTAAATTTTCTTTGTTTTTCTCTTTTATATCTGTAAAAGTTAGAAAAGTATTAGTTTATTTTACCAAATAACTAAATAATAGTTTCTCTAAAAATATATTTACCATTTGAATTAATGAAATTAGGTTCTGTAATATTATTTTTTTGTGGAAATACATATACACTGGAGATAGGTGTGTCATATCTTAATTTCCAACTTCGACGGACTTTCAGTTCTAAAACATTAACGATAGCAACTTTGACCAAACCACATTCACAACCTATTACAGTCAGTCTCCTAAATGAATTTGAGTTTTGAATAATCTTTAAAGTTTAAAACAATATGGTAGATTTGAATAAATGAAGAGATATTTAATATTATACCAATTATAGTCATCATAATAGTAAATATTAATCCATAATGAAATTGCTTCAATATCATGGAGTTCTGGAAAATATTTTTCAATTGATGATTCACTATAACCATGGTTTAACTTATCTTCCCTAATCATGTGAATCTTGTAATCGCTTCCAGACAATAACCAAACAACCTAAAATCTTGAACAGATTGTAATTCCATCTTAAATTTACTTAACTGAATAATAATAAGTAAGCAATTATTTTTCAATTGAAAACTTACCTCATTGTGTGAATTTTGTTGCGGTAATATTGTATGATATAAATGATAAGGAATATATGCCAATTCTACCATTAAACAATTTTGAGCTATAGCTTCAATCGAACTACATTCATCTCCTTCTCCATCTGTAGCACCTTCTGTATATATATTTAAATATCTTTCTACAGATGTATCTGTGCTTACTTTAATTATTGTTATTCCTATTACAAACCCATCTCCGGTATCAGATTTATTATAAGCATCAATTGACATAATTTCTGCTCCACCTAATAAAAAATAAGTTCCTTTTATATCTGAAAAACATTTGTTTTTTTTATACAATAATAATGCATAGTTCAAATTACAAACTTGGAATGTATGTAAAGAGTAATTCTTTAACCAATGGTCTTAGATGTAGATTGGGCATCAAATGATATTCACAGGAATATATCTTGCGTTTTAAGGAAGCCACTAATACTTTATTTGAACCATTGGTAGAACATAACTTTGTCATTGAATAAATGTTTCCTTGTGATGTTAAAGGAAACCAATGGGCATCTATTAAATTACTCATGATTCTGTTACTATCTAAACATTAATTACAGAATATAATGTTTATTTATACTCGAGTATTATTACGAAAAGAAAAAGTGTATAGCAATAAAGAATTTATCAAAACATATTATGTTCATTTTGTCATTATCATAACATACCTATAGTTTTACAAAATTTTTATTTATAATTCATGTTGAATGCTGTATTTGACAGATGTTTTAAGGTTAGAAATACAAGATTTTAAGGTTAGAAATGGTTCGTTCCATTGTGCGTGGTTTTGATTGAAAATACGTACACTAAAATAAACTTTAAGTTTTTTTTTTCAAATTTTTATGTATATACTACAAATGTTACATCAAGTACATACTTAAGTAAATACTGCATTACTTATAAATTCAAAACACGTTTTTCATACGAACATAAATATAATTATACAGCAAATATGCCTTAAATTGGCGACCACGGACACTCTAGTGACACTCCCCTCACGAAAAGTTACCCTCTCCATACTTCCTTTTACCTATTTGTATGAAACTGCATAGAACTGCTCACATACCGTCTTGAACAGGAACTAAGGTAGAGGTAGTGGGGAACGCTATTTTCGAGTTACTAGCGTGAGGGGAGTAAGTTAGAGACTTCTGGTGTACATTTCATGAAGAATGAAATACAGTATACCAAACATTTTCTCACAGATGATTGTGAAATAAGAATGTAAACAAAAACACGTACTGTAGTTACTACAGGAAAGGTTGAAAAAAGCCTCAAAAAGGAAGCACCTATATAGTTGACTTAATGTGAAATCAAATGGCTGCGGAAAGAAATATTCTTAGTTTACGATTTAATCAGGATCAAGGTAACTATTAGTTACAGTTTTAATTACCATAAGTTAACTATTACGACGTTACCATTTTTACTATTGTAGAATATAGTAATCGTTTTTACGTTATTTCGTCTTTCTGACAAGATTAAAATTGACGAAGAAAGCATTTGGCAATGGTTAATTTGGTTTTGTTTACATTAAAAGAAATTAAAATAGAATTATAGTATGTACGAAATTAAGACATTATAAGAAAAAATACTGTTTGTTCGTCATATACCAATTATTATATTAATTATTGTACATGTTACATATATTTTTCAGGTATCAAAACTATGTTGTGAAATAGTTATACTATGATACATGTTAGGTTAAACTTCATAACTGTACTGTTTTATTGTCTAAACCTTCTTATTTGATAAAACGTCTCAATTAATTGTTGCAGTAGATGTTAATTTACAAACAGAATTCAAGTTAATTTTATTTTTTATTATTCTAATACTTTGAAGGATTTTTTCTATTTTATTAGGTTGTTTCACGTGTTGTATGGAATCTGGGCTTAGGGTGTACAATGTAGAACCATTAGTTGAGAAAGCACATTGGGAGAATGATGTCATGGGGAGTATAGTCATCGCAGAAATGTTATGGAGAACAAATATCATTGCAATTGTAGGTGGTGGTACAAGACCCAAGTTTGCAGAGAATACAGTACTTATTTACGATGACTTGTCTAAAAAGTTTGTAATGGAAGTTACATTCACTAGCCCTATTAAAGCTGTTAGATTACGCAGAGACAAGTAAGTTCATTAATAAAATCAAATCATCGTTTTGGTAGATATAAATGATGCATTTACTTACTTAGGAATAATTTTACAAAATAGAATGGTGGTGGCACTGCAACGAGAAATACATGTCTTTTCATTTCCTATGCCAACAAGAAGATTATTAACATTAGAGACAAGGGACAATCCAAAGGGATTGATTGAAGTTGCTACATTAGCTACCGCACAGAAGCAGCTTCTTGTTTTTCCTGGTCATAAGCAAGGCAGCGTACAAATGGTTGATCTTGGTGCTACAGAAGTCGGCAGTTCTAGTGCTCCAGCAACTCTAGCAGCACATCAAGTGTGTATATTTTATAAAAACTTGAAGATACTTGGTATTAGTATGCCTTCTTGTAGTATCTTATATTTACAAATAATACTGTTAGGGTGCATTGGCTTGTCTCGCAGTTAATAGCAGTGGAACTATGATTGCAACTGCTTCCTCACAAGGTACACTAGTTAGAGTGTGGGATAGTATACGTAGACATTTATTAGTGGAATTGAGGAGAGGTGCTGATTCTGCTACACTTTACTGGTAAATATAAGATTTATTTTCTGTAACGAATAAATATATATTCCACATAAATATATTATACTATTCTTTAAAGCATAAACATGTAATATATGTTTCAGCATTACGTTTAGTAGAGATTCAGAGTTTTTATGCGCTTCCAGTGACAAAGGAACTGTACATATATTCGCGTTAAAAGACACTCAATTAAATCGCAGATCTACGTATGTAAATAGAATTCAATTTTTCAGTGAATATAAGTAACATATTCGTGAAGTTAATGATTAACTTTGTTACAGTTTCTCAAAAATGGGATTTTTGGGAAATTATGTTGAAAGTCAGTGGGCACTGGCCACTTTCACTGTACCACCAGAATGTGCTTGTGTATGCGCATTTGGTACAAGGAGTTCTGTTATAGGTATTCTAGATAAAGAAAATAATAATATTATAGTAATGTAACATGTTTAAATATATTAGTTATTCTTTATACATATTTTATATTATATTACAGCGATTTGTATGGATGGAACATTTCATAAATATGTTTTCACTACTGATGGAAACTGTAATCGTGAGGCATTTGACGTCTTCCTCGATGTTTGTGATCATGATGACTTTTAAAATGGACTGTATATTATGTTCATAAAATTCTATGCTTGTAGGAAAGTTTCTAGTCACAAATAAGAAACTTCTTGCAGCAAAAATCTGTACAGTAATGTAATTACATTAATTATTGTAAAAAGAGTATGAGTCATTATATCTATTAATTTTTTACCATAATATTCTAAGTGTTCTTTAATCTGTTTTATATGCACAAATTTTTAGCGATATACATTCTTTCCAAAACTAGTGGTCCAATTGTAGTATATTGTAATAAAAATTAATTTCATATAATCAGTATTTTTTTATCACCCACCTTTTTCTAACTATGTTTATGTCTTCCTCCTACCTTCATAATATGCTTGTGTCTGTTCTCGCATCTGATCTAAATAATAACATTTGTTTTTCAATTAAAATATTTTTTAAATAAATTTAATTATTCAAAAATTATGTAAAAAAGCTAACGATATTAAAGAGAAACTGCACATACTATACATTTCTGGATTCATCACGGGTTGGAATATATTCATATAAAAATGTGTTCCGATCATTGCCACTATACCTCCAATAACTAAACTATTTCGTACAGCAGGTCTTAGTGCCATGGTTGTATCTAAAAATCTTTATAAGGAGAACTTTATTCATTACGAAAGAAAACAATTTGAAATTTATTTTTAGGTTACGCAAATAATACATACAATCGTATACAGATTTTAAATGCACTTTAAAGTAAGCACAATAATATTATAGTTATTATAATATTACATATAAACCATTTATAACTTTATATGTTTATTGTGCAATGCACCAAAACGAACGATATCATTCCTTTAAGAACAACAAATATGAATCAAAATTTCTTCGATACGTCGCTAGATGGCTTGCAGAACATTTATTTTCTCGTTAGTGCTCACTTCGTTTTCTCTAACTATATATACGTTTCGTAAAAATTTTCTGTTGTACTTGCTTCGGCAGTACATATACTAAAATTGGAACGATACAGAGAAGATTAGCATGGCCCCTGCGCAAGGATGACACGCAAAATCGTGAAGCGTTCCACATTTTTTGCAATTCCTCAACTACTTCATGAATGAAATAGATTTCTTTTTACCTTCCACAAATATTCATTATCAAGTAAAAAATTTGATGCTCGGTTTTGAAAAATGTATGACTGTGCAAGTCATTTAATAAATGTCACGGATAATTCAAAATAAAAAATGAATCAGAATCGACGATATTATTGTTTTGAAAATTTATTTCGAATATGAATTCTTCTAATTAAATTTCCTTGATGAGCCACTAGGTGGCCTGCACAATATTTATTTTCTCGTTAGTGCTTATTTCGTTTTCTCTAAGTATATATACGTTTCGTGAAAATTTTCTGTTGTACTTGCTTCGGCAGTACATATACTAAAATTGGAACGATACAGAGAAGATTAGCATGGCCCCTGCGCAAGGATGACACGCAAAATCGTGAAGCGTTCCACATTTTTTGCAATTTCCGCAACTACTCGACGAATGAAATAGATTTCTTTTTATTTTTCACGAATACTCGTTGTCAGTAAAAAATTTGATGTTTAATTAAAAGAGTTTGTTAGCATTTAAATAGTTTAATAAAAATCCGTGTATTTGAAAAAAGATACGTGAAATTTATGTATTGTAATAACTTAAGTAAATATGATTTTAATGTATTTATAATATATTTGTAAATGATTATTTGTATGAGTATAATAATATCATAATATCTAATACAATTTATTTCTAATAAAAACAAAACCAATATTGTTTTACTAGATATTCAAATGTGAATTGTTACAGAGTCACCAATGAACTGATAAGTACTTAGACTGTTTCGAAGCAACTTGTCTTCGTTCATTATTATAAATGAAAAGAATAAGAAATAAAGTTGACATTTGATCAATAGTGGTGGAAGATAATAATGAATAATGAGTTTATAATAACAAATTGTATGAGAAGAAAGAGTTCTACTTATTTCCGGTTTCACGTTACGGTATACGTTTTTGACAATGCGACAGTAATTACTTAAATTTTAAGAGATTTTTATTCTAAACATTTATACAGACAGATTTAGTCAAATAAATGAAGCCAATGCTTGCTATGCTTCTTTAAGTACCGGTTACACATATCGCGTGTAACAAATACACGAATGATTTATAATTCTTTAAAAAAATGTCGAAACAATGGATGTCAAATTTCATATTAGCTGGTACTATTAGATATTTATTGATGAATTCTGGATATCAAAAAGTTATTAGCGATTGTGTGGAAGTATCAACAGCGTTAAACTCTTGGAAAAGAGGTTAGAATCCTTGCCATTTTCTTGTTTATAATGAATATGCCAATATTACAAATACATTTAAACATTACCACTTCATAATTATAAGATAATCATAATTATAACATAATATATTGTAATTAGTCGTTATTATATGAATCTGTTAGATATAATGAGAATTATTTTAAGTCATTATTTAATTGTTTATATTTCCTTTCAGTGACTGAAGGTGTTCATTTGTATAACTTCGGTGTAGATCCTTATATTGGAGATTTGTTTCATGAAACTCCTATTGGTTTATATGTTTTTGATATCATTCTACAATATTTACCACAATGGAGTTTATTTTTCTTGTTCATCTTTACTGATTTATTAACAGCTTTACTTCTTTCATTTACTGCCAAACAGTATGCAGTTGAATTGGTTAGTTTAATCTTCTAATATTTAACACTATAGGTTTGCTAATATTAAAAAGATTTATGATATGTAAGTAATGTTGATTGCAGGCCTCTAGAAATGAACAAGAAAAGACGCCTGATCAATGCACAGAAAATCAAAATGATTCTTCTACAATTTCTACTTCCATGATGTATGTCTCAGCGGCGTATTTATTTAATCCATACATAATATTAAATTGTGTTGGACATACAACAACAGTATTCACTAATTTATTGTGCTCCATAGCATTGATTTCAATGACAAAGTATTCTATATTCTGGAGCTGTTTGTCAATTTCGTTATTGACTTTACAAGGATTATATCCTATTTCGCTTATGGTACCAGCAACTATTTACATAGTTCAGTCAAAGAATACAGTACACAGAAAGAATATCATTATTTCTATTATTGTGGTGTTCGCGAGCATATTAACAATTTTGTTCTGCATTTCTTATTACATCATGGGAAGTTGGTCATTTATTTGGAGTACAACTGGCTTTATTTTAACAGTTCCTGATTTACGTCCTAACATAGGACTGTATTGGTACTTCTTTACAGAAATGTTTGAGCATTTTAGATGGCTATTCATTGCTTCATTTCAAATAAATGTTGGATTATTGTATATAGTACCATTAGCATTAAGATTACGACATGATCCAATGCTATTAGCATTTTCTTATTTAGCAATTGCTGCCATATTTAAGTCTTATCCTTGCATTGGAGATGTTGGATTTTATATATCTTTATTGCCACTTTGGAAACATCTATTTCAGTGTAAGTTTTTCTGAATTGTATTAATTTATTTTTACTTGTTACAAGTTAAACATGATATTTCAACTTTATTTTCAGATACCCAACAAAGATTCGTTGTGGGTTGTTTCATGTTATTCTGCACAGTTTTTGCGCCCACTGTTTGGTACCAATGGATTTATTCCAGATCAGCGAATGCGAATTTCTACTTCGGAGTAACGCTGGCATTCGCAATTGCACAAATCTTTTTACTAACAGACATTTTATTTGCGAGCGTGAAACATGAATTTGCAATACGTCACGGTATTAATAAGGATGTTACTGGAAGTAAGGCGAAATTACTTTTAGAATAAAGTTGCATTCTTCAAAGTCTAGTATTAAACCTGTTTATTAAAACTTCAAGGTTTTATAAGACTGTACTGAACAAATATTTTGTTTTTTCTAATTTAAAAAACGAGTTACCATAATATTAAAGAATCCTGGATTTTAATACTGTCTGCTTTATTTTATTTATTCTTGATTTTCAACATATTCAACATACAATATTAAACCGAAAAATTAAATTAATGTAAATTTCAACAAATATAAATTTGTAAACAGTATAAATATTTCAGTAATAATAATAATAACTATTATTATTTATATAAAAAATGTGTAATAAAATAGTTAACATTTTTTCTCATCATTATGAAATGTCATAAACTTTTTATTTTTTATATTATACTGCTCTACTGCAGTCAAATATTTGAATTTGACGGAAGTAGAGGGCGTTATGTGTGGAATCATTGTCGTCACGGTAATTCCTTTTCGTTGGTACTTGGTGATAGCCTAGTTACTATTATCGCCATAGGACTTTATACGTCCAACATTGTATTGTGACGTACCTGTTGTTCACGAATGACAATTTGACAGAGTTCATGTGATGTCGATACTTCTTACAGTATCATACGGTGTATGATTAACGATTATGATCGTAAGAAAATGGTAACATTATATTTCTCAATAATAAAAGTATGGTATAATATAAACGTAGAAGCATAAAATTTAATGCGACATAGTTGACGGATGTAGGCACGCGAAATATGATCATGAATAGTTTTCTGCTACCTTCTATTCGGTACTATTATTTCTATCTGTTACTTTCACATATTCACTTCTTTTCAAGATAAACTATTGTAATTTGTAAATATTGTTCGTCATTGAATGTAAAAACAATTAATAGACAAAAGACTGAACCGATGTTCTGGTGTTCACGTTTTTCAAAATTATGTAAATGCAGACATTAAGATCATTGTTATTTAGTGCAGTAATTCTAATAGGTGTTTTATAAAAATTTCATTTATGTACCCATCGATAATGTATTTTTAACTGATTCACAGACTTTTTATAGTCTCAACAAAAATGTCGGATATAAAAAATTCTTCTACAGAGAAGATTGACGTTGTTCTTCCACGGCAAGGCTTGCTGTATCAAGAAGAAAATCTTGACTATATACTGTGCAAACCGAAGTTGATTCCGTTAAAATCAATTACATTAGAAAAGTTAGAAAGAATGCAAAGAGATGCCGAGTTAAAAATCCAAGAAGCTACAGAAGAAGAGAACAACGAAGAAAACGATGAGTAGAGTCTGAAAATTAAAGAGGAGACATGTAAGGAATTCATTGTATAGCAAAATTGAGAAAAGAAATACAGAATGATTCTTGGAGCATTCTTGATAGAAATTATAGTAGCATTTTGCCTTGCTGCAACTTTATTATATAAATATGGGAATATTTTTCGACATCACATCTTTGTTACAATTTCCGTGCTAATAGCATGGTATTTTTCACTATTGATAATATTTATATTGCCTTTAGATGTTTCATCCGTAAGTAAGATTTTATTAAAAAAGGCTGTTATGATTAAAGATAATAAAAGTTAATATTATTATACATGTTTGCAGACTGTCTTTAGACAATGTGTTGAACAGAACAATCACAATATTACCAAAGTGACTCCTGATGGCACAACATCAATACCACTTCACATTTGTAAAAAACCCTGGCCTAATGTTCCAGAAAATGTATTTCCAAATTTATGGAGAATTGTATATTGGACGTCGCAGTGTTTGACATGGTTAATATTACCGCTTATGCAATCATATATAAAAGCAGGAGATTTTACTGTTCAAGGAAAACTGAAGTCTGCTTTGATTGATAATGCTATATATTATGGAAGTTATCTGTTCATATGTGGCATTCTCCTAATATATATAGCATTGAAACCTGGCTTAGATCTTGATGGGTAAATATCTTACATTAATATATAGTTTTGCAATTACCAATGCAGTCAGAGTATCATTAGTTAAATTTTCTTAAAATGAGGACAATTTTTTTTATGAATCAATTTATTTCTTTTTATGCTGAGTCACTCAATTAATTTCATTAACAATTCTTATTTACTTTTACACTTTATAGTCAAAAACTCAAGGCTATAGCATCATCTGCATCAAACACATGGGGCCTGTTTTTATTAGTATTACTTCTTGGATATGCACTTGTAGAAGTTCCACGTGGATTATGGAATGCTAGTAAACCTGGGTATACATTAAATTATAGCTACTTCAAAGTTGCTAAGTTAAGTTTAGACAAATGCGAGGCAGAAGAAACAGTGGATGATATACTTGAGGTGATATTTGGAACAGTGCATGCATAACAATTTTCTTATTACAATTTATTCAATTACTTATTCTTTTATTTAGTCGTTACAAGCTGCTACAGTGTCCATTGGACCAGGTCATCCGTTTCACTGTAACTTGGAGACAATTTTCCAAAAAATTCCTGCAGAATTGAAAGATAGAATGAACAGGAGGCAGTTACCTGATGACACACCAACTGACACACCGTCTGAAAAATCATTGATTCGTTTGCATAGACAAGTCTGTCATTCAAATACATATATATATATATCTCCATGTGTATACGTAAATTGATATTAACATATTGGCTTTTTTTTCATAGACCATAAAAGCGTTACAAACTTTACAACGTATAGAAACTCAATGGGGAATTCTGGTTAATAAAATAATTGATTTAGAAGATATAGCAAAGAATCAAGAAAGTCATGACAAAAGATTCAAACCTACTTTCCCTGTACATCGATCATTTCCACTTCGCATTATTTATAATCCAGTTATCGGTACGTATACAATACGAATTTTTAATTCTTATTTAATGTTTATAAATTTTAAAAATCTTCAGAGTGGTACTGGAAATGCGTCATAAAGAGTTACGTCCAAAAAATCGCAGCTATCACTGCTGGTTGCCTTTCAGTAGCTGTTGTATGGTCAGAGGTAACATTTTTCAACAAATCTCCAGTGTTGTCACTGTTTGCTCAGTTTGTGAATTTAGCTAAGGAGAACTACGATTATTTTACAATCGAGGTGGGTAACAAACGCTAAATATGTGCTTATTTATTTTTATGTAATCCTTTTTTTTAAAATTAAAATAATTCTTTCAGTTACTATCCACGCTGATAATTGCATACCTCTGTTACTGTGCTTATTCAACGGTTTTAAAAATCCGTGTTTTGAATTTGTATTACCTGGCGCCGCATCATCAAACTAATGAATACAGTTTAATATTCAGTGGTATGATGTTATGTCGATTGACACCACCTATGTGCTTGAATTTCTTAGGTCTTATCCATATGGATTCGCATATAATAAAAACTCATATATTGGAAACTTATTACACTCAGGTCAGTTCATAGAAAAAATACTAAATAATCTTTACATTCTATTAATTAATAAATCCTATACCTCGATTTAATTATGCAGGTAATGGGTCACATGGATGTTATTTCTATAATATCAGATGGATTTAACGTATACTTTCCAATGGCTATTTTGGCATTCTGCCTAGCGACGTATTTTAGCATAGGAAGCAGATTACTTTCTATGCTAGGATTCCAACAGTTTCTCGATGACGATGAGTTCACAACAGATCTTGTCGAAGAAGGTCGAGAATTAATAAAACGAGGTAAAATAGTGTTTCTATATTTATTTTCAACATTTTTGTTGAGTACTGTAACATGTCTTTTTTACCTCGATTGTTTTTAGAGAGGCGCAAGCGACAAAGAGCTGAAGATTCGATGTGCAGAAGACGCGAGTTTCAAGAAAGATTTAGTAGTTCTGCAACTTCGTCTCGTTACAGAACGTCACGGCAAAGTACCGATACAGGTATCTAATACATACGCAAAATGAATGAGAAAAGTTAACATGCGAATGTATTTGCAGATCAAAAATAATCAGAAAACAGTTTTCTTTATTTAAAGCAACAAATTTCCCATCTGTAACGCTTAAGATCATTAAAAGCATTTTTTTTTTATGTTGCTTGCGTTTAACACCGTAAACATTAGATTTTAAATGATAAATTCCATTTGTTACAGTGCGACCTTTAAAACGAGACGAATCAGTAGAATCAGCGAGAGCTGGATTGCTACGTGATTTTGATCCTGCAGATTATTATATCGGTATGACCTCCGGTGTCGACGGCTATGGTGCAAACAATAGTTTCGATAGGGACTATCAGGTAGATGATTTTTACGAAGAGCGTGTAGACAATGCAAGAGCATTTAATACAAACACAAATCGCGTAGGACCTCCACCGAGAGGACTATTCGACGATATTTAAAAATAAATCTGATACTGTTTAGTATTTGCCCAGTAATAAATTACTAAACGAATTTACTTATAGTTAATAATACTCACATTTAATCTATCTATTCTTGGTAAATAGAATTTTTTAATACAGAGGTTGTGAATACGATGATTTTACGTTCGTGTAATAGAAATAACAAAATTATACTGTCGTGAGTAAGTATCAGTCAGAGTATGATTTTAAAAGGTGCGATTGCAAAAAGTCTTAATCCACGCGTTCCCATTATTTATTGCAAAATTTTTATGTAAAAATAGGATGCACATGTACGTATACATAATTTAATTACTGAAACTTTCAGAATGTTGGTTTACGTTATTTACGTTTGTATATTCGTATTATTGAGAAACATTTATCACTGTTCAAATAATGAATGGTAGAAATAGGTTTATTAATCCGCAGTAGTTTTAGTGAACTGTTAAATTTCATACAGTATTTGATATATTTTTAACAATGAACCCATAGACGTAGCATACATAAATTAATATAAAGTATCTATATTACTGTACTAAATTATATAAATGAAAAACTTGAGGTATACATAAATTGTGGATTTCATTGATCTCGATCTTACTTTTATTTAAAACAACACGGTACTATAAATTTGATGTGTAATATTTACGGATGTGTTTCTTCGTTAATAGTCACAGAAAGTTATACATTATTTAAAATATAATAAAACAACAATAGAAGAATGATAATTCTGAATATTTATGATTGCTCTTCTATTGTAAGTTTGAAAAACTAGAAATGACGCACTGAATCATTTGAAACAATGTAATTAATAATAACTGGCTGCTTATAATTCTTATTAGAAAATGAAAGTAAAAATCATTTTCTATGATTTTATCGATATCGCGTAAAAATAAAATTATTTGCATATTTATAACAGAAACAGGGATTTATCTATGTTATGAACGTGAATCGTTCAATGTTGTTATTTTGGAGCTTCGATGTTTTATATTTTAAATAAAGTTAACATAGGATTTTATTTGTTTTTGGTAACAAGAATATTTTTTGTAAATAGTAGGCAAATATTTGTATTGTCTAATTAATAACGCTTACAGAGAAATTTATTTATCATTATATATTATACGTGTACGTTGTTCAATAAACTACTTTACTTTATGCTAGATAAAATATGAAAAGATAAAAGGTAGGATTAAAAGGAGGAAGAACTCAATAATGATTCCATTATTATGCAAAACAAAATTATGTATATTACTTTTATTGCAAATATTTCATACAGATATGAAAACATTTAAGAAAATATGTGTCCAAACTATATCTGCAATATTAACGGCATTTGCTAATAAATATGTTATCAATGTATTAAAAAACACAGTTACAAATCTCAACAACCTCTTTTGCTTATTATCCCAAAATATGCTCTCTGATTTATGTTCGTTATAATAATTCCTGTGCACGTGTTAAAAATGTATAAGAATAGATATCACACATACGTCTAAAAACGTTGAAACTTTTCTTTTGGCTTAAATAGAATTTGTTCGTTTCTTTTTATACAATTTTGTACTGGTATGTTTTTAATAAAATTGCGGAAGTACAATTTCCTAGTGAAATATGTGTATTCTACATGATTATATGAAAGCAGGAACAAGTTAATA